CTTCCATTCAGAGTAACCGGAAATTCGAAGCGGTCATGTACACATGAGCTCTTGGACATGTGTAATTGAAAGACGTCAGCCCCACTGCAATTGAATCAACTCCCAAAACCTGCTTTTCTTCAAAAATGCGTCTCAAAACGATTCCTTTTGGATCATGGTTAGTATACAATTAGTATAAAAACGGGTTTTACCTTCAATTGTTGTACGTGTGAATCCAGAGATGGATTTTGCTCCTATACAAATTCGAATGTGAGTTTGTACGACCCTCAAGCTCCCAAATTAAAACCCCGAAATTTCAGTACTTCTTTTGCCTCATTCGCTCTTCGTATCCTTTTAGTACCCTGTACAGACGAAGGTATCAAGTTACTCATATGGGCACCTAAGTTTCATGTCAAAAGACTGTTCTATGTCATGGCTGTTCGTATATTCTCAACCCAGTGCCTACTCAGTGTACGCCGCTCTATAATCATGCATAAAGGCTCTTTGACATGCGAAGTGTCAAGATGCCAGCCATGTTGAAGACAGTTGCACCATGGCAACTTGTAAAAACGCCGGTCTTGGATCTAGTTGCTTAATGGAGTCGTTACTCACCCCATTAGCGACTCTAAAATTTTTCTCGCAACGCTTGACGAACCTCAGCTTTTAATTCGCTCGAAATGATGAATGGGTCGGGTTTTAAATTATTTTATGTTAAGATTGTAATTTTTTTATATAAAAAGAAAATAGGGAGCGGCTGGGTTAGAGTAGGAAAAGGGAACCCGAAGCATGACTCACCCACGCGTCTTTTGTCTGACCTGGATGTTTTTTTTCTCCACTTCACATCGATTACGTTTCTCGGCGTGGTTGTGAATGGGTCAGACCTTGGTTGCCCAATGAATGAAAACCCTCGGGTTTCTGGTTACGTCGAGGATAACTGGATTAATTAGTCCGGATATCGGGTTTATCGGTGTAATTTTTAATCCGCCTTTTGGACTCGTGAACGACTCCGGTTTAGGACGAGGAACCTTTTTTAAGTCTTTCGTTTGAGAAGAAATCCTTGCGAAAGAGTCTGTGAAGGTCTGGGATCTTATGATCTTTTTTACTAGTTCTTGTTTCTTACGTTTCATCGACAGTTTATTTTGATATTCATCGAATGACTGATGCTTTTTGGACCGGCTCTTAAAGGGTATCGTGCCGTAAAAAAGCGACGTCAAATCCATCACACTTTTTTTTTGTAAAAATACAAGAGTAGTTTCAACATTTTTCGTCAGTACCTTGAAAGGTAGTTATTTCTCAATCGAAATCGTTCCAACTACTATCAGACCAACTTAGATTAAACTGCTGTTTGTTCGCGAAAAATTTATTTCAATTTGAGACCTGTTCGGACAAGTTTTTTTTATTTTATTCAGTCGACGTTTTAGTGGAATCTTCTCCTGTGACTTAACTTACTTGGAAATTGTGGATTTTACAGACAGAATGTGGTAGTGAAAGCTGAGTTTTTGTCTCTGAATTAAAGCATTTTAAATGGATTTTGGCGCCTGGACGGCCTGCGAATTCATGAAATTGGCAAATGTGGCAGGGATTCATTTTTATTTCAATCTATGGTCTGCACACCCAACTCTGTTTATCCTCTGAATTTCTAAAAATTTAAAAAGTGGTTGGAAATTATCAAATACTGCGTAGATATTCTGTCTTCCGAAAGTAGCCGCTGAAATTATTACGAAATCAGCCGACGCAAATTCAATATTTACGTTTTTCTCTCTTTTCAATCAACTGACCCTTTTTTGTCTGTGTATCGATTTTTAATCAATTTCATCCGATCATAATGAATCAAGTTTGATGATCGTCGAATTGCTTTTTCTCCCTGAAAATTTTACGAGTCCGATCGTAATAAAATACCGGCACGGAAGGATCGTTTCATAGTGGTTAATTTTGCAATTAGCATGTCCTGACGTAGAAGGTTGACTTTAATTCACGCAATGTTCTCCCGTACTCGATTTGATCGCATTTATGATTTACGATTATTCGACCTTTTGTAAACCCATTTCCATGTCTAAGGGATATTTTGTAAATGGTTTTATTGACGTCGCTGCGAAGTTCGTTTCCAGTGTCGAATGACGAGAAAGGGATGAGACCAAGTGTTTTTTTCTGTTGGAATTTTGGAGATTTAGGGCAATAATCCTCCCTTTTTTATGAGGGATTTGCCCTGATTTTTTATCGTTGTTGGGTTCATGAGTGAGATTGATGGCGTAGTGTTGAGTGTTTTCGTGCGTGGAATTGAACTCGGCACCCGAGGGGCAAGTTGATGCCTTAAGCTTTCTCAGGGCAGAAAGAGCCACGAGGATTTACTGCGATTGTGGTCAGTTCCAAAAGTTCTGTACATCATGGCTGAACATCGAGTGATAAGATTTTTTTTTTAGAATTCTGAGCCTGATGGATGCAGTGAAAAAAAATCCTAAAAGTTAAGTACAATATTTAATGCTTGACTAGAGTTGCCATACGTGTGCAGCATTACGATTTTCGAGGTGAATTGAGTTGAAAATTATTTTTGACCGTCGTAATTGAGCTGTTTTCACTCGGTTTGTGAATGGAAAAATAACGTTAATGTCATCCGAGAAGTATCCAAGTATGACCGAATTTTTGTTTCAAGGTCTAGCAGAGGTAAATAAATTTTTTAAAGAAGTCATTCCAAATTTTTCAAGATCGGAGTAAACGACAACGCCTGATTAACCGTGCGAGAAAAAGTGAACGTAATAATAAAAACATAGTGCTTATTTAATTAATATCTAAGGATCCGATTTAATACCGTAAGACTTTTGAGCCTATTGAAAGCGAATTTTCGTAATTGCCAAATTCGTCGAATGTGTGGAATAAGAGCATATTTGAGTCCAAAAAATGAAATAAAGCTCCATCAATGACACAATCGGTTGAATATTGAATTACATCTGAAATCTTTCGCGTTTTGAAAAATATATATTTTATTTATTTTTTATCAAGGCATTTGTTTTGATTCTTGGTGTGCATTTTAATTTATCATTAGTTTATTTGACTGTGTGGAGTGAAATATTTTCTCACTAGCATTTTTTTTTTCAAATGAGCTTTTCAGGAATCTTTTCCGCTTTAATATGTTTGTATCACAAATAAATTAATTCATATTGAAGAAATGCAAAAAAAAAATGGAAGGGAAAATTACGGCATTCTGAAAACTCTGATACATTTTTCGATTTTCGGATTCGATAAATTTCTTGAATGCAGAATAAGAGCATATTCAAGTCTAAACAATTAATAGTAATATCTTTCCATGCATGACCCAATCAGGTAAATTTTGGAATTAAATCTGAGAATATCTTCATTTTTAAAATTTTCATTACGTTTTTTTATTCGTTTTTTAATTTTTCATTAAACTTTTTGACTGTGTGGAGGGAAATCTTTTCTTGGCATTTTGTTCAAAAAATATTCCTGCGTTATCGAATATTGAAGTGACTGGGTTTCGTCACTAAGAAAATTCACGGAGCGATTTTATTTTTAATAAACGAAGTCAGTGGTACCTTACAAAAATGTTTTTAAGTATAAATTCTCTGTTGAACTTCAAGATGGTTCCTTTGCTTTTCTTCCCGAGGGGAAACAGTCTTTATTCAAAAGAAGAAAAAGCGTGACGGACCTGATTTCTTGCTTATATAGCTGCTGCTGGTCTCTGACGTAACTCGATCCACGAGTTTTTGCTCCCCCCTCTGGGTCGAGTTTCAGGTGACTAGAGATAAAAACTACTCGCCTGCTGGTTTTATTTTTTATATTTATCATTATTATTTTTAAAATATAATTTTCTCCCTTGACGAGGTCCTGTTAATATTACTCCCGTTAATCCTCCAACAGGAAATAAAAAATATATAAAAGACTATATTTTTTCGCGGGTGTCATAAAAAAAGAAAGAATTGCACAACAGAGTCAGGAAATGAAATCACCGAGTAGTTCGTGATGGAACTCTTTTTCAAAGACAACAAAAATGCTGGCAGTGCCTCAGAAAACTTTTTGCGCATGATGCAATCACTTGCATTGCAACATATTAAAGTAGCCATTTCATTTAAAAAAAGGAGCTACAGACTTTTTTACGTAGTATCAAATTCAAGCTTGAGATGTTTCCTAATTTTTTGGTGATAGCGTTAAAATTGATCCGACTAATTGATCTTGAGTTATTTTATCAAACTGAATTTTTTGTTCGATATAAATCTCCAATGTAATGGAGAAACTTGCAACCAAGATTTATATCTCACAAGCTTGTGGTGCAACAGGGCCTTCGAAAAACCTAGTTCAGTAAATCATGAATGAATCTAATTATGCAACATATATTTTAGGGAAATTCGGAGCAAATTTTTTGATAAGAGGGAGAAAGATTTGATGATTTTTGAAGTATGTAAACAAGCAGGAACGCATGCACTTTATTTCCAGGGAAATTTTGCTGAACCCATGAATAAAATTATTTCCCATGTTGATCTTTTGGTGAACAGGAAATCCATACATTGACGCACTGTATATCGTATTCGCTATAAGAAAAAAAATCACGAAACAAGACAGAAATTCACGTGCTTTTCGAGTCCAGCGCGAATAAAAAATCCCAGTTTATTATCTTGACTATTTATTTTCAAATTTGGACCTCTCAACGTTGGAATTTTCTGTCCAGTGCACAAACCTGCGACTGTTGATTTTGCGGGAATCGGGGCAAGAAATTTAGCGTGGAAGAATTAGTGTCAAGAGTATTAATTTTTAGTGAAAAAGCTAGGTGCCATTTTTCATGGAGGAAGAAAGCTTGTTCGTTTTATTTTAGGGAAACACGGCGAATTTTAAAGCATAAAAATACCTTCATAGTACCTTGTAATTCTTCCAAGTAATATTTAAAACGCAACTTGCAACCTAAAAAAAAAGTTCTATTTAATAAAGCACGTCAAAAAGCGCTTCTTTAAGCGACTTACACCCGCGGTCGGTTTTGGATGGACATTTATTTGTGAAAATTTATTCTTTCAGACGCTGCAACTCCGCCTGTTTTGAGACGCATCCAGAACCCGGCCATCGGGAAATTGGCACAAAGAAATCCGCGATTCAGAATCTCCAATTTGCGAAATGGCAGAGGTCAGGAAAAGCCAACAAGGCCGCAAACTGTCAGCGTTGATGATGCTGATCAGCTCTCAGGTGAGTGCAATAAAGGTTTTGCTAATTATTTTTTGTTGCGAAATTTATAATAATGAAATAATATTCGTACGGATTCGGAAATGGAATACCGAAAGTTCATGACGCTTGTCATTCACGCAAAATATTTTCTTTCGTGCAATATCGGCAGCTTTGATGAACGGATTTCGAAAGAAGGGAAACGCAACACGGAACATGATTCGCAAAATTCAGTCTCTGTGGCGACTAGGTAACTTACAAAAGCACGAAGCGAAACGAAGAAAGCCTTCGATTTTTTTTTGCGGAATGAAGACTTCGCTTTCTGCATGCCCCGAGCTTTAGTTCCTTTTTAGCAGATTTTTTTTTTTTTTGCACGCTGAAGCTTATGCTCTGGAGACCGGAAGTTGTAAAGTAAAGTGGGCTACGTTTTCTGCTTTGTTTCCGTCTCGGAGACCCGATTGAAAAGCTGTGAGTTCGCTGAACTTTCTGACCTGAACTGACCGAAAGATTCGGCGGTTGTCTCTCTTTTTTTATATTAAATTTCTCCGAAAGAGCATCTGTTTGTAAAAGTACTTTGCTCATGTTTCGTGAGCGTAGGTTTTCTGTTTCCTCAGCCTAAAATCCTATTCTCTTTGTCTGGTTTGTTTGCGGTTGAACGGGTCAAGAAAGATTTTAATCTTGATGTGTTCTGGCGGCGAAAAGAAAAATAAACCAAGACTTGAGGCTGATTTTCTGTGCGTGTGTGTGTTTGTGATGATGATGTTATCTAATCATCTATGGATAAAGGTATGCATTTTTTTGGAATGAGTTTTATGCATTTTAGTTGATAGAAAGCACGAAATCCTGTTGCTCGGCAGATTACGAGATTTCGTTCATGAATTTTGTCAGTGTGCTGTCGTGTGTTAGATAGATTGACGTGAATTTTGAAATTAAATATTAGACCATTTCATGTCCAATTTTTAAATCTTCTGCATGCCTGAGTTGAAAAAGAGCTGACAAGTTCATCTCATTACTGAAGCAAAATATATTTCAAGTCTCTCATTGTTATGTTGAAAAATTTCGCAGGAATTGGAAGATTCGCGAAATATTTGAATTGGTCAAAATATCTTCATTAGGAAAATTTTCCATGTCTGTCAACTCTGTGCTTATGAAGAACCTGTTCCAATTTGCGCAATTGGTGTGTCAATTAGACTTCATCTGGGAATAGAAGTTGTCCATAACATGTCTGATGTCAAAGACGCTTTTTTCTTAGCATATAAACGTGGGCGTGTTTCAATTTTTGCCATTTGTCCGACAATAGTTTCAAGTATTCTTACTCAGAAATTCGAGTACTCTTGAAACTTAATTCCAAAGTACTGAAGATAAAGTTACAGACATTCTTTAATCTATTTTATTTTATTTTATTCCGAACTACTGTATCCAACTCGAGATTGCTGAAATATTTTTTCTTATGGTTAGAAAAATATTCGAAGCTCTTAATTTTGTTGAATCCAGTGCATTAATTTTTTTGGGGGCACTTCTGTTTTTCCCGCATTAAAATTATGTCGAATATTTAAAAGAAATCGTCCTCTTGTGGTATTTTTCTCGTATCGAGAAAGATTATGATATATGATTGCCATTTTTAAGAAGGTTGAAATTTTTGCATGTGACTTGCGAGTATTGAGTGAATCATCGTCAGCTTGCGTTAAATTTGAATGGAATATTTTATTCAAGAATCTTCAACTGGTGTTTACACATCATAAAATTTTTTTTAAAGCTTGAGCTTGTTTGTATGTGACTTGCAAGCATGATCAGCACGAGCCTGCGTTTGTCTTTAGATTTCGAAATTAATTTGATTCGACTTCCAATACGTTATTAATTTTTCTGAATATTTTTTTTCCACCTTGGAAGACGCGGAATCTGCAAATTCGTCATCGTCCCTCGCAGACAAAGAAAACTCGCGTCGGTCCGGAGGAAACAAGAGACAAAATGCAGAAACTGCTTCTCCATCGACTTTATTACGCTCTGCAACTCGAGAACATCAACAACAACAAAACCAACAGCAAATGTGGGCTAGAAGCAAGAACAAAGACGAGGACATGAGCATTCGTCTGGGGCTTTTGTTGGGCCGAAACACGACGTCGAGTCCGTCGACGACGAGTTCCAGATCCTCAAGCAGCGGAAGAGGAACTCTGGTGCATCAGTTGGCTGCAAATGGTGTCGACAAAGTCGACGGAAGTGACGAGCACGTCAGTGGGAGCAATCGAATGAAGCCGTCGACAGCTGGACATTTGCCTACAATAAGACTGCTGTCGGGACAAAGGTGTGACTGTCCAATCATGAACTTCTACTTCTTTTTCTAGTAAAACAGTTAATTAACGTATTTAAAAACGTCTTTGAGTCGACGCACATAAGGACGAATTAAAGAATTTGATTTTTTCTTTCAAGGTGCTTTAGAAAAATAATGTATGCCATATTACATTCGAGGGCGAAAAGAATTAACTCATGGGAAAATAACGAGTTTATGTCAGCAATTGTTGTGATTTTTACTTTGACGCTTCCTATCATATGTTCAATGAAGCAATTAGATATATTCAAGGAATCTTTGAAATAACCAAATTATTTTTTGTTTTGATAATCGCGTGAGAAAAAAATGGTTTCTTGGAGAAGATAATCGTGATTCCAAAAATGTATTCTGCGCGATTTTCCTTGGACACGTGATATTGTTTCCTTTATTGAAATTGTTTCAAAATTATTTTCTACGGGAACTTCATTTTCTGCCAACTTATTGATTTTAAATCGCAAAAGATCCAGGGTTTTTAGGCAGGTGACAGAAGATAATCTTAGCTGATGTCAGGAATTGTTCGTGATTTTTCGTTAGACGCTACGTATGATTAAATAAAGCAATTACGGATTTATTTGAAGAATTATTAATATTCGCAAATGAATTTTTTTGTGTACAAATCGGATGCAAAATGATGGTTTCATGGAGAATATAACCGTGATTCAAGAAATAACTTCTCCGCGATTTTCTTGGACGCGTGATATTGTTTCCCTTGTTCAAATTGTTTTAAAAATTATTATTAACGGGAACTTAATTTTCTACGAACTTATTGATTTTAAATCGCAAAAGATGCAAAGGTTTCAGGCAGGTGACAGTGAGTCTTAATTTTAAATTTCTGTGCGGAGCAAATAATATTTAAATTAATTTCCTGGGACTATACTGGCGTCCTTTTTTTCTGCGTGAATGCGGCGGCTTTTGCCAATTTCGCCATATACTCGTTATTTGTTGAAGAGGTAACTTAAGTGCTGTGGAGAACAGCAATCAAACCGCGTTAATTACTCACCAGTTGTAGCAAATGGTGCTTTTTTCTTTCTCTCCACCTGGTTTTGTTGGCTGTCTAGACGTCTGGAAAAAAAATTGCCCTCTTTTTATGGGCGTGCAAATGCACATTCCAAACGCTGAGAATAGACCCGTTTTACAGCCTCAAAAGTTTTCGCAATCCCGAAAACTTCCCTTACTGTCGAAGAATGCGTTTTAGCACACAAACCTTTTCCGAGTTGTCCATTAGCAAGATCTTATTATCTTCCTAGGAATGTTCTTTCCGGGGATAACTTATTTTCAGTTCAAGGGTTCGGGAGTTATTCATCCCCAGATGGAAATTTCTTTTTTTTCTAATACCTGATGAATATATCTCGATAAATACCGTGTGTCAATTTATTTCGCGTGAAATTTTTAAAATCAGTGTTTTTTGTAGCGCGTTAAAATTTTTGGGTGAAATTGCATCAAAATTGGCGGGGATGAATATTTTCGAGGAAATTTTTTTAGTTATCCTCATTTTGTTGAGACTTCATCTGAAACCGAATTTTTCGTGCTTTTTTCTGATTATGTACCAAAAAAGTTGATGATGTAATTTACATTACGCAGTTTAAAATTGAATTTTCGAGTTTCCTGACCAATTATTCGTTGAAGTGGACAGTTTACGATGATTGATCAGTGAATCATTTAAACCTGAATGCTTACGATCACCTGCGAAAAACTTGAGAAAATTACAGAAATTCGGTGTAAAATGAAATCCAGGCGTGATTTTGTGTTTGTTTTAGTGACATTACTCAATTCGGAATAAATTTTCATTGTAGTTGAAAATTTATAATAATGAAAAAATTACCGCGATAAAAAGTTCCTAAATCCAGTTGATTTTCGAGTGTTCCGAATAAACTCCCGATAAATGTTCGAAACTAAGACTAAGATTGTAATCACGACTTCCACGAGGAAGGAACCAGTCGCTGGAATTCGCTTAATTTAATTGCCGTGAAAACCCTAATGTGAGGAATTTCTGGATCGGTCGTAATTATCCGGATATGAGATGGGGGGGAACGAAAGCGAATTATTGCCGCCGGAGCCGGAATAATTGCTGCTCTGCGGAACGACGTTTTTCGGCGCGTGTAGAAAATTACTGTGGCTCAATTTTCGTCTGATTGGGCTGATCGATGTTTTAATTTGTTTCTTACTGACGAGAGCGAGGGACTTAATTCTTCATTTCCCCCTATTTCCGTGTAAGGAGACAGTAACTCTACTGAGGGGGGGTTTTCCAAAAATTTTATGTATCGCCACGCAGGCGGATGAAAACTGCTGCTGAAGTTTTGAACTCAATTTTTTTGTGGTTCTGAGAGAAGAAAAAATTGCATACCTTTAATGTCAGGATATAAAATTAAAAATTGTTTGAAAGACCTATAAAATACTGTAATCGGAAGATGTTTTTGATTTTTGGCGATGATCCTTTCGTTTTATCTGACATTTTTTTTTGTCAAATTTTAAAAGTGCTCGAGGGTTTCTCAGCTGTCTTCTCCGTCTTCTGAATTCTCTTTGCTCTGAAAGTTGTTCATCTGTAAAAAAAAAAGTTTCCATGATTTGACAAAGTCTCCAAATTTTAAAAATGAAAATCCTTGCGGCTTCCGGATGAAAGAAAAGATTCGAAAGGGAATTTTTTGATACGTTTTCCTTTTGGAAGGCGACCTGAAAATAAAATTGCTGGAAAGAGATGTTTCTGTACTGTACTTTTTACTGCCAACTGATTCGTGACTTTTTGAAAAGCCCCCTGTTATTTTGTGTGATGAAACAGTTGTCGGAATGACTGACTGCTGTCAAGTGACGTTAGAAGGATTCTCTTCCTATTTCTCTCTCTTTTTTTGGTGTTGTTGTGTCTTTTTCCCTGCTTCGCAAATGACGACACTGTTAATTTTCTGAGGATCTCTCTCTCTCCCATTCTCTTATTGACGTGGCATTCGATTCTCGGTTGTTCGATTGATTTATTGAACGATGAGTGCTGATGAATTAATTGCCGTGGGTTCGACAGGGTCGGAGGAGGAGCGAGCAGCTGTCGAGATGATGGGCCGGTGTATGAATGACGACGGAAACGACGCGTCGACGGACTCTTTCGGGTCTTTGATGTCGTCTTGTTCGTCGCCGCAATTCGGAAGAGCCAGAAGACGTCACTCCATCACGAGTTAGTTCAAATATATTTGTAATTCTGAATTTCCTGAATTTTTATTATGATGTGTTGAATTGCCAAAAAAAATATCATCGATCGAAAAGAGTTTCAAGATGCATCAGATACCAGCTGTGGTATGAAAAGTTATTCTGAGAATTCGTCTTTTAGAATATCCATGGAAAGTATTTTGAAGTGAACACCTTTTTTCTCACTCACTGGAAAGGCTAATCGTCTCAATTCTGGGCATTTTATTCTTTTTTATTGCGTTCATAACTTCTTGAAAAAATTAATTTAAAAAATCCACAAGAAACTTTTTTTTTGCCTTGGAGGTGCATAGATCGGAATTTTCTCATTGTTGAGAAATTCATCATTTTTATTCTATTTCTAAAGAAAATGATTTTCGATGAAATATTGCTTATTTAACGCATGGATGCAAATTTATCATGAGGAAATTATGCGTCTGATTTTCGAATTGAGGGACGGAATGCTGAATGAGTTACTGTATAACCACTGAAGAGAATAGAGTATGTGATCGGAATTTTAATATTTATAAATTTCCGAGACAAATTGAAATCTAAAGAAATCATATCCAATTGATTTTTCTGTGCGGAAAAAGTTCCTGCATTTCTATGTAAAACTACGTTCGCACAAAATCCGTTTTATTCGCTGAAAAACATATTTTTGTTGCTTGAAAAATATTTTAATGATTGTGATTGCTGTTTTTTTAGCTACTCAACAAGGGCAAATAGAAGATCTGAATGTTTTCGGAAGACAAAATTTCGTGAGAAGATCTGCCCGAGCTGCTCTTCAGGTTCCATCGATAAGAAATCCATCAAACTGTGCTTCACGTAAGTCATTGAAAAATAATCCCGAATTCAAAGTTTTTAAAAAGTATATGCTGTAATTTTCTTTTCAATATTTACAGCGTGTCAAGTTCGTTTGGACCTCAAGCCGTTATTCTTCGAAGTGCCTCAACAAGAGTCTGACACGTTGTTTATCGGTCGACGATGGGTCTTCAAAGAAGTTGAAAACGAGCTGATTTCAAGTTCCGAAGCCATGAGTTCTGTACTTTCTGCTTCAAGACCCGGGTCTGGGGTCACAATTTCTGGCACTGTTGGCAACGGAAAAACTGCCCTTATTTTGCAACTGGTCGACTATTCTTGTTTTGGAAGAAAACGCGAGGACAACTTCAGGGGTTGGTTGAACTTCCCGAGAAGCTGAAAAATGCTTTTTCTCCCGTCGTTCTTTAAGGGTCTTGGAATTTTATTGTAATTATTGATTTATATATTTTTTTCTCTCAGGAGAATTTTATGGGACGAGAGGCGGAATGTCGAACCAAGGCATGATGTCGACGATGAACCAGAGCCAGAGTTCATTGGGAGCCTCGAGATTCAGTCTGGTGTCGGATAGCTTGAAGATAATTGGGTCCAGAGTCGTTGGGTTCCACTTTTGCCAGGCTGATAACGCACCCACTTGTCTGGTTCCTGATTTTGTGCACAACCTTGCGGCCCAGTTGTCCCAGGCCCCTCAGCTTGGTGCTTACAGGTACTGTTTTTGAAAAGAAAGAAAAAAAGCGTGTTCGTCAAAATCCAAAAATTCGCTTCAAACTTGCTTTCGTGCCCGAAATGCCTTGAACAATCTTTTTTCTCTTTCTTGCCAGTGTTGAATAATTATTGAAGTATGAGAAGAAAGAAATGCCTCAAGTGGAATGAAAAAGAGAATTTCTTTGACTTTTTTTTTGCTACATCTCTAATTAAATTTGAAGACTTCTTCGGACAGATTAGGTGCGGTAACAAGGTTTCAAATTTATTTCTGTGGGAAAGACACTCGTAAGATTTTTGTGTCTGTTCCTTTTAAATATTACCTAATCATTGAGATATTGCAAGAAATGCAATTAGGAAATGAACGGATTTTTAAATTTATTCAAGCAGTATTCCCCAACCTTTTTGGGCCAGCAGACCGGCAAATTTCCATAAATTTTTTGCAGACAAAAAAATTTATGCAGACTGGCAAAGTTTCATGAAATTTTTGGAGACTCAGGAAAGATTTTTTTTAAAGACTTTATGGGAGGTATTTAAAAATGTCTGCTTTTTGTAAAAATAAAGTTAAGAATCAATCTAGTGGCTTTAGTGGAATGTTTTCAGAAAAATAGAAAGGTGGGCTTGCAGAAAGGCTTCTCAGAATGCAAAATAAATATTTCAGCATCTGCAAATTTGTTTGGAGTGTTACTAGGAAAAAGCCAACTTTTAATTTTCATCAGATAATTTCAACTGGTATTGTCTTTCCAAAATTCCAGATAAAGATAGCAGACTTCAATGCTACTTTTGATACATTTATTATGCTGAAGACAATTTCTGCAGACCGGCACTTGCCTGTGGACCACTGAATTAAACAACTTAGAGGAAATTTTTCAATGAGAAATCACATCAAAACTTACAATTTTTCATGGTCCCCTAAGATTTGAAAGAAGTACCTTTTTATAAAGTTTTATTTGTGAAAAATTAATTACACGTTTCTTCTTTTTTATAGAGAGTATTTGCTGCAAAATCCAACAACAGTGGACCTGTTGTCCTTGAGAGAGTGCATCTGCGACCCTCACAGAGCTCTGGTGCAAGGCATCCTAGAGCCCCTGGCAGCTTTGAGGCGAATTGGGAGACTGTCAGGAGAGACTTGCATCATTGTTGTGGATTCCTTATGCGAAGCAGAGTATCATAAACCCGACTATGGAGACACTATTGCCAGCTTCCTCACCAGACACATCATGAAGTTTCCAGGCTGGTTGAAATTGGTTGTGACTGTGAGATCCCAGAGGGATGATGTCACCAGGCTCTTGCCCTTCAGGGTTCTGAGGTAAAAAAAATTGATGACTGTAAAATGTTGGAAAGCGGGTTTTGAAAAGAAGGGATTTTTCTTTTTTGTTGTTGTTGGAAATATAGCTTGGATGATGGCAATTCGAGTACTGGAAACGTGAGGCAAGATTTGGAGGAATATGTCAACTTCCGGCTCTGCAACAGCATGTCCATTAGCAAAAATATTTCCATCAATAGTGGTACTAAGAAGGGACAAGAGGCTTGTGTCAAATTCGTTTCTCACGTTGTCAGCATCGCCAAGGGATCTTTCTTATACACTAAGCTAACATTGGATCTGATAGAACGTGGGCATCTCATCATGAAATCTTCAAGCTACAAAGTTTGTGAATTTTTTTTCCGTTTAATTCCGTCTTTTGATGACTGAGAATAAAACAATATTTCAATTTTTTTAGGTTTTGCCTGTCAACACGTCAGAGATCTTCATGTTGAATTTCAATCTGCGATTCCGAACAAGCAGCTCCTACGAAAGGACCGCAGATATTTTGGCGACTTGTTTGGCTTCTTTGAGTCCCATGACTGCGCATGAAATCTTTCAGTGTGTGAATGCTGGGAACAGACACAATCCCATGGCCTGGGAGGATTTCACTAAGCAAATGGCCGTGAGTTTACTTGTCATTTATTTTTGTCTGCGAATTTCCTTCAAATTAATGCGATTTTTTTTTTTTTGCGCATGCAGATTCTGCAAAGCTTTTTGGTTCGCCGTGGAGACCAAACTTACATGTTGTTTCATCCTTCGTTCCGAGACTGGCTTGTGAGGAGGAGTGAAGGAGAGTCTTCCAAATTTTTAGTTGACAGAAAGTAAGTGTGCAGTTGTTCTATTTTGCTATCACACAGGTGTCGCCAGAAGTTAATGACTTGCATTTCCAGTCAATCTATGCTAGGATAAGTCAGGACAGGTTAGGTTGAGTTCAAATGATGTTAAAGTACGAACTTCCTATGATAAAAGATTGATTGACAGAGCAAATATTCTTCGTATTCAATCGCTTAACGAAGTGCATGAATGAAAACAATTGATTCTTTTTTTCTAGGTTACCTCGTCTATTTCTTATTGTTTTTCTGTAGCCTTATTCTTTTGGTTCATCTAGGGGAACTCCCAAGAATTGAAGAATGTGGCACTCTTGAAACCTGCGTTTGTGTTTCCTGGTATTATTCAGCTCCCTAAAATCTTGTTTAACGAGTATTTGAAGCAAAATCACAAACAAATGGGTTATATTGAGTGAAATATAGTCAGATTAGGTCAAAGCTATGTCATATGTTGAAGTTTAGTCCAATTTGATGTTGAAAAAATGTAATGTAAAGAATCGTGAAAGAGTTGGATTATAATATTTATTTACCGAATATTTTTAATTATTCCAAAAGAGAGAGGCTCAGAAATATTATAATAGAAAATTGTAAGATTATATTAATTATGCTAGTTTTACATTTTATTGTGAAAGTCAACTTTATGCATACAAAAATATTATAAAAATGCAATATTTCTGAACATTAAACTCGCAAATGAAAAAGAAATCGATAATTCTTGATAAAATATTAATTTTTTAATGAAAATTATTTGTTTGGGAGAAGAAATGATTATTTATATTAGTTAATATAGGATTAGTTCTAATAAGCTGTGTTCATTCATAGAGTAAGTCATGATGGTTGGTCAGGTTAGTGATTCAAGCGACACCTAAGTGACATTGAAGAAAGCAAGCCCGGATTCTGGACAGAAAAAAACTTGTTTTCTCTTGAAACTTTGAAAAATGTGCATTTTTTGTTAATTTTTGCTAGACGTGGCAGCATGTGCATAGCATTGCACTATGTCCAGTCCGACTCGCCATTGGGACCTGACAAGGGTCAAGAGTTGGGTCATCACCTCCTCAAGGCACATCTCTTCAAGCAAGTGACTGCAGTGCAGCAAAGACACGTGAAGAACGGCTGCGGGAATTCATCAGCTTCCGGAGGGTCTTCGTCATCTTCTTCATCAATGTCTTTAGGATTATCCTCCATGTCCCAGTTGTCAGATATTCGGGGATGTGGAAGCATTGCTGTCGCTGTTCGTGATGCCTCTAGTGCCTTGGTCGGGCATCGAAATGTTTTCAGTCCGAATGTGAAGGTGTCGCGTCTGCTGCTGCTGTCGGGGGCTTCTCCGGACCAAGTAAGTTACTTTATTCCTGCTCAAGTGACAAGGAACGGTTTGCACGATTTTTTATCTATTGAAAAATAAATTATCGGGGATTCGGATTTTTTTTTCAACGAGTTTTTAGTTGACGACGTCCCTTTATAGGCACGAAGATTGGCATACATTCTCCAAAGCCGGAAGTTCGTCCCATCAAATGTTCCATTTTCTATCCAAGACGTGAAAAAATAAGATTTTGAGCGATTACAGTCAAAAAATTTTATGGTGGGAGAAAAACATTCGAAATCTGAACTCCGAGTGGTTTTCCTCGTACAAAAATGAAGAAAAATCATGGTTGTGAATTAAGGAGGTATGAATAAAATTAATCGAAGAATTTAAATGCCGTATCTGTTCGCGTGAAAAAGTGAAAAATTTCGCAGACTCGACAGACGCACCATAAATACGACTGCCCAGAATTTTACTTATTATATTGTACAATTTTATTTATGCAAAATAACTGAGTGAGTGAGTGTGTTAGTTTTCTTCCTCCTCAACTGACCAGGAAATTGTGCGCTTTTTTTCTTAATTGAATACATATTCGTTCATTTTTCATTCATTCGTTAAACGATTCATTTTTAACGAGTTGTCAGATGTCCCTAGTCACAAAAATTGGCATAAAGTCTTACATAAACGAAAGTTCATCGCGGAAATATTTCTATTTTCTATTCAGGATGTGCTGAAAAAACTTCGTGAACATTTAAACTCAATGTTTTACTCTGGGAAAATTTTATTACGGGTGAAAGCATCAGAAACCCAAACTCAGTTTAGTTTTCCTCGCATAAAAAAGAAGAAAAATCATGGTTCTGAATTAGCGAGGTGTGACAGAAAATAATTGAAACAGCATATAATTATCTGTTTGAAATTTTTTGCAGTGTTAGGACAGATAAACAGTTGTCAAGAATTTAATTTCGCATCATACAATTTTTCGACATTTTTTTCTTTTTCTGTAGTCGACGAGCTGCTTGAAGAATGCGCCTTTGCTCTGCGTGGCGGCCAAAGAAGGTTACCTGGAAATGGCGTCCCTGCTGCTGGAATTCGGCGCCAATCCGGAAGCAACCAACGAAGACGGTACCACAGCCCTGTCCTTTGCCGCGAGGCACGGACGAGTGGAAGTTGCCAGACTGCTGATTGAACGTGGTGCCAGAGTGAATTCCGTGGATGCCGGGGACTGGTGTCCTCTGGTGCATGCTGCCAGTGCGGGTTTCCTCAACGTCATCAGCTTCCTGGTGTCGTGCGACTGGGTCGTCAGGTCAGACGCTGACCTGGGCCTGGAAGAGGCGGCGCAACAGGCGCTCTCTGCGGCTGCCCTGCGTGGCCATGACCCGGTATAAATTAGAAATATTCACCAATAACGTATTTCTCAAATTTTGGAAAAGAAGGAATTATCATGTGTTTTTCTCTTCACTTTTATTCTTGTAGCTTTTTTAATTGGTCTTTTAAAATCGAAAGGGGGGGGGGTTGCTTATATTCGCGTTAATGCGGTATTTTGAGAAATCGAAATCAACTCTAAAAAATGATTTTGAAAAATTCTCGTAAAACCGCCAGAACTGGTTGATGAACATTTTTCGCCAAGTGAAGATTGGGTAGGAGTCGAAAAAATATTTTCATAGATGGCACTGTTCGTTCTGTTCATCAACGTTAAATACTGGTTTTCAAGTGTACCCTCTCAAGCCCTCATTTCTAATTTTGCAGGTCGTCGACTTCCTTTTGGACATGGGCGAAGTTACAGTGAATCGTGTGGACACGTTATTCGGGGAGACGGCATTGACAGCAGCGGCATCTAGGGGACTTGCGGGACTCTGTAGTAAGCTGATGCGCAGAGGAGCCCGTGTAGATGTCGGGGACTTGAGAGACTCGCCGGCGCTGGTCAGAGCCATCAAAGAAGGCCATTGGGAAGCCGCAGATGTCGTGTTGTCACATGGTGCAAGTGTGGATCAGAGCGACGGGCAACGGAGAACTGCCCTCATGATGGCTGCCAGTGAAGGCCATGTTGCTCTTATAGAGCTGCTTCTTGGAAAAAGTGAGAAGAGTGTCCATTATATGTTTTTTTTATCGTTGATGAAAATCGTTATACGATATCAAGCAGTGAATTAGTCAACGAAGAGGCAAATGCGGTTTATTTCCCCGCACGTGTAGACTAACGAATTTTAGCTTCCTGAGAACTCGAAGCATCTTCAGGTTCTTTCCGTGCGAAAAAGAAAATATATATTTTTGTCAATGCCTCAGCAATTTGTTCCTATTTCGGAACGTCCGCATGTTGAATCAAGTTTTCCTTCAGAATTCATTGAGATAATATATTCAATGGGTTTTCATGCTGATCAAAAATGGGGAAAAAGTCCCCCAAAAATTAAAGAAGATAATTTTTCAGATCTAACCGAAAATAATTGTGCAGGAGAAAACCGCACATAATCTGATCTGTTGGGATGAAAAAGGGGCCGATAAAACAAAGAACAAGAAGAAGTCTTCCTCTGCTGTGCTCTGTTGATGGGAATAACTCCGAAATAAACGAAGCAAAAATTAGCCTGTTTCGGATTTTTAATTATAATAAATCTTCAATTCAATTTATTTTCAATTTTTGGGAATATGAAAAGTTTAAGATACGTCAAAATAAAATAAATATCATTTTTCTAGGGTTTCTGTATTTAGAAACATTTTCCATATGTCGAGGAAGATCTTTTAAGCTGTCGAGTGTTCCTCATTCGAATTGCCCGTACTGTACTTAAAAAAAAATATTATTGTGATTGAAATCCTCATGATTTCCTCATGACCTTTTTTTTTTTTCAGAAGCGAATGTGAATGCCGAAGACAGGGACAGGATGACTGCCTTGGGCTGGGCATGTATGCGAGGTCATCTCGTTTGCGTGCAAGTGCTGTTGGACGGGGGTTGCAACATCAACCACTCTGACAAATACGGACGCACTCCTTTGGACCTCGCTGCTGAAAAAGGGCATTTTAGGGTTGTTCAGGTGAGGGTTTCAGTTGTTTACTTATGTAGTGCGAAAGAAATCGTGATCTCCTCCATGTCATTCGGCGCAGAATTTAAAGATTTAAAAATTTAAATTAAAAAAATTCGGTACAGGAGACGGTTAGAATTGTTTTATTTTTCCAGTTCCGTACGTTATTGGATATACATTATTTTAATTTTTCGAGGTAGTCCGGCAGAATTAAAAATCTCCTCGAAAATATTCAGTGTTGAATTCGAGGATTTAAAAATGAAAATACAATTCACGGGGGATGGTTAAAATGTTCTTTTTTATTCCAAGTTCTGTACGTTGTAATTTAATCGTTCGAGTTTTTCCAATATGCCAAAAAATGAAATAAATGCGAGAAATACAGTACCGATACCATATCTGCAATAATAATCCAGTTTAAATTCGAAAAAAATATTTTTAAAAGTAACATTTTTGTTTTTCGTTTCCTCAATGTTTACTCTCACGGACATTCAATGCAATGTGAAATGTATTTCTGTATTCTTCAGTTATTGGTTGACAAAGGGGCAGAAGTGGAACACTTGGACATGAACGGAATGAGACCCTTGGACAGAGCGATTCAAGCTGATCAGTTGGAAGTTGTGAACGTGTTTTTACGCAAAGGTGCCAAACTGGGATCTGCAACGTGGACTTTGGCCCAAGGCAAATACTGTATTGTGTGAGTATTTGCAATTGTTGAAATCTCGTCATGTTTTTTTTATGATATTCCACGAAATGCCTGCTGTATCGGATTTTTTAAAGCGAAAATACAACAGAGAACATTGACCAAATCATTCCGAAGGATCATCTGGATCAATTCAAATTTTTGAAGCCTTCGAGTGGGGAAAAAATAGATTACAGTATACAAATTCAAAAAAAATACGAATACCCGAGGATGTAAAGGAGATAATTTCAAATGTTCAAGCATAAAAAAAGTCGGCGTTCAAAGGAAGCTAAAATTATGCTATTGAGATAGTTGAAAAATATGTTTGGGAAAATAGGAAAAAAAATCAAATGCTCAACGAAATGATTAGTAATGATATGTAGTATTTTGTTTTGCTGATATTTCCAAGACCGGGAGGTTCAATAAGTGGTTTTATCAATTTATTTTTCTCCAAAAAGGTTGACATTGCTGAAGAAGCTGCTCGAAGATGGACAGACATTATTGAAGAAAGGTCAATTGCAAGACGCAGCTTTTCGTTTTGGCTACGCGTCTAAAAAGTTGCCAATTTACCAACCAGTACCTGAAGGAATGTCTCAGCTGAATGTGCGATGTTTCGCTAGTCTCGACCTCAGCCTGGTTCTCGGGCTGTCGCGTTGCAAACGCAAAATTGGAGTGAGTAAAATAATCATGAGTCGAGTTCGGCGTCGTTATTCTAAAAAAAAAACATTGTATTTTGAAATCAGGATTTCGATGAGGCTTTGGAACTTGCGACGAAAGCGGTTGACATGCGACCGGACAGCTTTGAAGCCTTTTACGCCCGAGCTCGGGTTCTCAACGACTTGGGGTAATTATCTTCTTTACAACTTTCAATAAACTTTGTGTATTTTGATGAAAATATTTTATCCCTATTGATTTAATTTTTTTATTGAGCAGAAGAAATTCGGAAGCTTTGCAAGACCTGACAGAGGCAATCCGACTTGCACCACAGAACCGAGATGTCCGCCGGGTTCTGCTCAGAGTGAAAGAAGAGATGAAATCCGTGGATGATTTGGATTCCAATGGGAACTGCACCCGAGTGACCCTGGGTCCAGCGGCGTCCATTGAAACCCTGGCCGGGTCAAATGCCAGCAGCGCCATCTATGCCACTGTCACGTCCTGTGCCATGTCTGAGCGCCATGTTGGGTTCTCAGCATCTCTGTCAAACAGCTCTTTTCATCTCGAAGAACCCGCGCATGTTTGAAGAGGTTTTTTTTTTTTATGCGTCATTTTTGGAACGAAGTAGCGTGTGTTTTCTTTTTTCCCCCGTTTCCCCCATCATCTTTTTTTTGACGATGTGTGCGTTCGACTTATTTAAATTAATTTTTTCTTTTATTTTCATCGTTCAAGAGATACTGTATTTTTAAGACCCCACAAAGTTTTCGGCCTCTGAATTCACTGTAAACCATGAATATTGTTCTTAAATTGAAAATTGCCGCTGTCATTGGAAAATCAGTAGCTCAGTAATTCTTTTTTTTATGTTCCCTGAGTGCAGAAATATTAGGCTTGGTTTAAAAATGTAGTTCTGAAGGTGTTCAAGATTTATTTCAGTAATTGTTGAAACGAAACTGGGGGAATATTGGTCGAGTTGAATTAATTAGTTTGTGATGGTGTTCATGAATAATTTGAAATAATAAGTTAGAACATCCCGGTAGGCAAAATAGTCTGACCGATTCGAGAAAATGTTGCTTGGAAGTTTTCATGATTTATTTAATCATTCATTTATTTATTTATTTCATTTCCTCCAATGGCTTGAATATGATATTTCTGAAAATGGTACTGATTTATGGTTGGAAGATTTTTCCTCAGCGTTCGAATGATTGGTTTATTTTAATTTAAATGCTGGTGATTAATTTCATTGAATTTTGATTTTTTTTTCTGTACTGCTGAAAAATATTGCTTTATTTTAACGAAATAGTTTAGAATGTGTTTTCTGGTTCATTTTGGGAAAAGAGCAAATGTTCCACGAGACCGTGATTGAAGAAATTATCAGATATATGCTTGCTGCCATTTAATTTCTCGAAATTTAGAAATTCATTGTTGAAGAAGAGTCGAATTCGAGCATTTGTCTTGAAAAAATCCCGTGGAGACAAAAAAGAGGTATGAAGCACACGTGATGTTTGCACAGTTCGTCCCCGCGTTTCTTGATTTTTTGGACTGTGATTTGCTTAGTGAAGTATTGTTGTTTATCGTAAAAGAAAAGGAAGAGAAAAATTAGGAATCAATCGCGGTATTTATTTTGGAAATTGGAAAAAATAACGCTAAAAAAGAGTGGATCGATGTGAGCGACTTTCCACGTAAAAAAAAAAGAATGAAAATCGAAGAGTTTTCTGGAGGAAAAAAATCCTCAGCCTGAGTTGATGAACTCGGCGTTTGTGACGACCTCGGTTCTGACGCATTTAAGAAAGAATTTCGCCGGAAATTCGCGAAATTACGACGAAATTGAAAAGCGCTTCTTTTCAAAAGAATCGCTGCACGAGGATGAGGTGTTTCTTGAGGGGGAAAAGAAAGCATGACAAAGGTATACTGAAAAAAAAAAATGTTTCACGGTCTGTGAGGAAACGAAAAATGAGAGATGAAACAATATCTTCGGTGGAAGAAGAGAAAAGGAAGATATTGGAAATTCGCGTGCATTTTTTTGTCCACCCTGTCGGCCCCGAAAATTGCAGTTTAACCCAATCCCTCCACAAAAAAAGACGATTTGAGTTTTTGTTATGCTTTTCCCCTGTCGGAATTGTTTTTCTCCTTCGAAAGGTATATGCTAAAAAAAATCGTGTGCCTTGATTTTGCGTTTTTTTCCGTCAAAATAGCTGCTGGTAATGAGACAGGTTCAGCGGTGGTTTTTTCCTTTTGTTTTTGAAAAATGGAATTGATTTTGTTGCGACCCTGCAAAGGAAGTGTCTTCTTTTATTTTCTCTTCGATGCTACTCAAAAAAGTTCTCATCCAAATATTCAGAAGTCATTTTATTATTTTACAATATGTCCAGTGGTACCCCAGATAATGGGTATGGTTGATTTTATATATTCTAAAATGGGCTATTGAAAAAAGTGTTCATCAAACAATTAAAGGAAATTTGATTAATTTTTCCTTATTTTTGTCTCTCTTCCAACAGTCCCTCATTTCTTGAAACTTTGCTGCTGATCTTTCTTGAAGATACAGCAAAAGTAGTGATGTCAGAAGTATTTTCATTAGTCAGATGATTACAATATTCTCACAAATGTTCTTGGTCTGCAAATATTTTCAATATGTAGATCCGCAGAATACTCAGTAATTCCTATGCGTGTTTAATTCTTTATTGCATCTGTGATGGAATAATTTGGTACCTTAATGTACTACTGTACCTGTACACTGACTGCTGTTAGATGGCAGCCATATTAATTGAATACTAGAGATTTTAATCTGTACCCTTGAAGGGTTTTAATGAGTCAGGTGTGCAGAAGAACAGACTAAAAAAGATTTGTGTTGCAATGCAAGTGTGTGATTGTGAAGTTTATCTTTTTATCCATTCTGATTTGTGTGAATCAAATCTTGGGGTTAAACAAACTTGAAATACAATATTATCTTTTTCTTTTGGGATTTCATAAAAGAAATCCCCAGCTGAACCCCACAGCTGATTTTGTGTTTTATTTTCAAATTTCCTCCTTTTTTATGACTTTAGCCCACAACATCATTGGCACAGGAGATCCCTCCTGAAGATTTCCCAAAACAGAACTCTTCACAATGTTCAAACCTAATTTGTTATTATTATTTCTGTAAATATATTGTGATAGGTCTTTTCTCCAGATAAGTCCAAGCACTTTTTCAGGAAAACAAATAACAGGGCTCTTGGAGATTTTCAGGGCAAGATCTTACCAAATTTTTGCACCAAAGCCATTGGCACCTGGAAAAGACTATTTTATGCCAAAAAATTCATCACAGGGACTTTCAAAAAACAAAATGTCTGTAGTACTAAACCGTGCTTCTGGAAAATTGTTATTAATTAGAATCCATTTTATCAAGATTATACTTGCACAGCATTATTAATAAATTACAACTTTTTCATCAATGCTTGAGGGGGCAAAAAAAAGCGTGTGCGGATGAATTGGCCCGGTGCAATCAATAGAAGGAAGCTCGTGGTTCCCCCTTGGCCAAAAAAAAAAAAAAAATTCCCCTCGTCTATATGCTAAAAATAGTGTGGGAAGTGGGGCATCGGCGGATCTGCAAAATCAGCACAAAGGCCCTTGTGCATGCGCGGGGACGGCTGCTGGCGTTTCAGCACGTGCGCAGATGCGGAAAAAGGTATCCTGGATTTTGTGGGACACTCTAATGTTTTTTTGGTGGCCAATACAGTATTTCTCATCACCATTGCTGCAGTGTTCACGAAGTACATACGGTACTTGTATACTATTGAACAGTTATGGGCCACTACAGTTTTCTAATGCAATCATTCCATAACCTTTCTTTCGAAAATAAATTCCATTCAGCTCAAAGTGAGTTCATTTTAGTTTTTCGAGAAATACAAATTATATGAAGGTGAAGATGAAAAGCTTTATTCTTCCTCAAATATTTTAAAAGTTTTCTAACAGCCTGGTTAAAAATCCGCGATCAAAGACAATAAATACTCATGCAGTTCAATAATTTAAATGCCCGAATTTTATAAAGAAATAATTTTTGATCATCATGAACCGAAAAAAAAAAGTTCGAACGAGTCGTTTATTATCGAGGAAGTGGGGAATTTTATTTAGCGGATATTTCCCGTTGGTTTAATGAAAAATTAAATTGCCGTTCTATTTTGGACAACTATACCAAGATCAGTTTTTCTCGCATCGATTAAATAAAATGGAATAAAAAACTTGAATGGCTGAATGAGCAGAAATCTGAGGGGGAAAAGTTGTGGACGAGGATTTGCGAAAATCCTGCTTCATATTCCACGCAACTCGAATTCTTTTTAGTGAAAAAAAGAAAAAAAAACTGTGCCAATTTCATAGAATTCGTGCTACGCCGAAAATTTTTCTGGGATGTTGTGAATGGAGAACTTGGCACACACAAAAAAAAAGAGATAGGGAAGGTGGGTTATTTTATTCTTTCAAAAGATGTCACTCTGTCGATGAAGAGAAGGATGGCGTCAGTTTAAAAAATTTTTTGCTCACCTGTTGAAGCAAAATGGACTTTTTCCTTTTGTGTGTCAGTGTAGAACACACCTGGAGAATAAGTGAGTGGACATTCAGAATCGACCAGCATTTCAATAAAGGCAGGAGAGCAAAGTCGTGCCCTTATTATCAGCCTGTAGCCAATGACATTGAGCTCCCTTATTATTGCCATCAGGGTCCACAAGGGCGAAATGTAAAGGGAAAAAAATGCAATGAGGGAGATGTGGAGAAGAGGGTGTACACTAGGGACTGTCATCCATGGGCCTGATGCGGGGAAAGGGACAAGGGGTTTACCATAATTCTTGGATATACTGTCAAACCCCGTCTAACGGACTTGATTTGTGCAAGGGACAAGTCTGTTTGACAAAAAGTCCTTTACACGAATTCAATTACATAAAAAATTAAAAATTTCAATTTTCAACACTAATTTTAAACCAAAAGAAGTCTGTTTGGTGGATTTTGTCTGTTGGGCGGGAAGAGAAACTGCTTGCAGAGCTGGTCTGTTTGGCAAAAATCCCTTACGCGGGAGGTCTGTTAGGCGGGGGGCCATTGTATTGTAAGTGTTCATTTCTTACAGCAAATACCTTATTTAATGAAGCACAGGTGGTACCTTGCTATTCAACCATCCCACAATTTGATGGTTAAATATTCTGGGAGCTCAATTCTCAATTCAACTTATGCCATACAATTTGACCCATGGAGAGACATGAAACATCAAATGCCATGTAGAAAACATGCCATATGAGGTTATCTTGCAATTCAACCCCAGTCCAGCAATGGATTAGTGTCAAATTGCAAGGTACCACCCATACCATGTACACTTGGACATGTACCATGTTCACCCCTCAAAATTTGAGAAAACGCAGTACAAAATGTAATAAAATAATTTATATATGTGATGGACCAGTGCTCCCCAACCTTTTTGGGCCTGAAGACTGGAAAATTTTCATAATTTTTTTTTCAGACAAGAAAATTTAACAAAAAATGCTGAGGACTTGCAAATTTTCATAAAATTTTTGCAGACTCAAAAAAGTTCTGTTTGAAAGACTTATATGGCACATATTCAAAAGTTTTCTGGTTTTTTTACATAAATAAAGTCAAAAACAAAACAAGCAGCTTTTCTGGAATATCTTCAAAAAACTAGAGAGGTGGACTTGAAGAAAGGTTACTCAGAATGAAAAACTATAATAATTTTGTTCACCAGGTGTAAATTTTTCTGAAACATAATTAGGAAAAAAAGCCAACCTTTATTTTTTATTAGATATTTGCAACTGCCACTGTATTTACAAAATGTCAGATAAAGATAACAGAGTTCATTTTTACTTTTGATAAATTTATTATGCTGAAGAAAAGTTCCTTCAGACTTGTAAACCCCTTATGCTGACTTGCACTGGCCCATGGACCACCAGTTGCAGAATACTGCAATAGGCACTTATTTTTTTTGTCTCCTCAGAATTTCAAACCACAATATGGGAGTGCAGCTCAAGATATATAGGATGAGTCCCAACATGTTTGTCATTTTTTTGGGGGACTTTCAGTTGATTAAAACCTAACCTAGTCTAAAATTATCCCCTCTTTTTCAAACTATATTGACATCATGAAAAATAGACCAGCTCTAACCTGCATCAAATGTTTCAGAAAATGGCTGACATATATGCATGCAGATGAACAAATTACTCTTTAAAATTGCAGTCAATCTATAACTTGACACATTTTTGGCACATGGTGGGTAGCCCATCCAATTGCTGAAATCCGTTTTGAAACCTACCCCACACAAACAGAGAGTCCCAGCTGTAAACCTTTCTGGCTGGCCCCCCAGGCTGAGTCCAGCACAGGGACCCTTGTTTTTGTTTGAAAGAGAGGGGGGCAATGCCCTAGGGGGAGGAGGCAAAAATGGATCAATAATTTCTCCTCCCCATTTTTGTTCAGGCAAAAATCCAGCGCTCTCTTCCCCTATACCCCCCCCCCCCTATATTCTCAAATGCTGGAAATTGTGGCTGTTGCTGAGCAGATGTGAGGCCGCTGTTTTGGTGCTCCATGAGCTCAAGTATTCACCTGAGGAAAAGTTTTGAAACTTTGTATTATTCAGGATTAAAAAGAAGACAAAAGAAGGAAGAAGTAAAAGGCAAAAATAATCCTGTCAGCAAAAAATAAAATAAAATAAAATAAAGAGTCAAAATTGAAACTCCCACCAACTACCAGAAGCGCAACTAAAATAGCTTCATTAAATTTTTTGCTTCACAATTTCCATTCAAAATCACATTGAAAACAAATTAAAGTTTTCCATATAATGTACAGTAAATTGAAATGAGATGCGATTGCGCACTGTGCTGATTTTAAATTTCGATAGAAAATATACAATGGCTGAAATTGCGATTGTGACTTGTGCAAGAAACTTTTGTGCGTGATGCTATAGCAATCAATCAACAAAATCACAGCAGTCAAGAAAAATGTATATTTTCTAAATCAGGATCAACATTTGTCCAATAAAAAAATTAAACCAGAATGCCTGTTTAATTTTAAAATGGCACTATTAATCTTGTGAGAAAAAAATTTAAAATAGTCACAATTGTAACCCCCATCAACTACCAAAATTTCAACCAAAATATAGCATCTTTATTGTAGTTTTTCATTACACAATTTCCAGGCAAAATCACATTGAAAACCAATTATTTTCTATGGAAATTTGAATTGAAATGAAAAGCGATAGCACATTGTGCTCATTTGAAATGGCAACATAAATATTCATTGGCTGAAATTGCGATTGTGACAGTGCAAAAATTTTGTGTGTGCGTGTGTGTGATGCTAAAGCAATCAACCAATAATCACACTCAAGATGAATGTATTTCCTAAATTAGGATTAAAAATTTTAAATTATGAAAGAAATCATGAATGCTGTATACATAATTTTAGGGGATATAAAACTCAATCTTATATAGATATAACTCTTTTTGGCAGAGTCTAATAAATAAACCTGAGAATCAGAAAAAAAGACAAAGATGATCACCAAGCTTCACCTTGGCCTGGATATCCTCCAGCACATAACTATTGACTAAATTTGCACCAAGTACAGCCTGCAAAATAAAATAAAATGGAGGGTGAGCAGGACAAACACAGATGAACTGGGTTATGCAAGTTCGGTTCCCCCCCTCCTCCCCCAAGGGTGCAAAGTGTAGGGGAGAGAAAAGCAGGAAATCGGGGCGACCTTTTGTACCACTGGGCTTTTCCTTTTTTCTTTTTTCCTCGTCTCTCCCTCCCTTTTACATACACTCATTCATTCATTCTTCCATACCCCCCTTTGTTTTGCTTTGTGCTTCTTTTATCGGTTTTTCGTTGGCTTTATTTCGGCAGCTTGTGACTGTGTGCAGGGACCCCCGGTGGCAGAAAGAGGAAGTAGAACAGCAGCGTGTTGGGGTGCGACACGACGTTCAGTTCCTGGCCGGGTTCTCTGGCTATCGGTTGGTCGCCAGTGATGATGAAACCCCTGTGGAACGGGGTTTTGTGTTTTGCAGCATTCGTGATGGTTGACATTTCGAGTGTCGTAACATTTTATCGCTTCACCACCTCGAGTAAAGAAAAAATTTCTATATTATTTATGGTGCGTAGTTGAAGTAGATTTTATAATGACTGAATAGAGTCGAATGAAACTTTGTATGACTGTGTGAAATTTTTTGCGTGAAGCACTAAAATTTCCAAAGTGAATAAACGCCCTTAAAGTTCAGATTAGTGGAACTGAAACCCAGTCAACAATTTTTTTTTTTTACCTGTGTTGCATTCTTATGGTGAATGATTGTGTTAGGGAACCTCTGAAAGATTCCCTTAAAGAGTAGTAAAGGTTCATTATTCTTGGTTAACCCCTTTATGAACCTGAAAGGAAAAAGGCTTGTTTTTCTAGAACTGAGAAATATACCTATTTGTTACTGGTGTTAGCGGTTAGAAACCATTGATAATATTGATAAGTATGCTTTATTTGCCACTTTTCAGCATTCACAAGGTTCAAAACATACTTGTATGCGTAATACATTCATCACATAGAACACATGTGAATTGGATTACAATTGGTGTGAATTGTGTGGGTTTGGGAACAAAAAAATGCAGACATGATCAACCTTCAGACTGTGCCCAAATGGCACAATATCTGCATTTTGGATCACATTTTCTCAAAGATTTAATTGGGAAATTTTTTAATAACTTCTTGAATTTTTCAATGTGACAAATTCTACAGAAATTAAATGTGCAGAAGAAAACCCCAAATCATCTGCCTTTCTGGAGAAAAGGAGCTCAAAAAGCACAGAAAAAATCACTGATTTCTATGCTGTTCAAAGTTGCTGGAAAACCCATAAAAGTAAATAAAGAATTAACTTGTTTTTGAGTACAGTACATTTTTGATTAGCATTATTTTGACTTCATGTTCATGGTAGAAGCTTGATTTGTCCCAGAGATGTCACAATTCTGGAAAGATTTGTTTTGTCTCAAACCTTTGGCAAATTATCCATTTATTCAATTCAATGTATGCTCTTTACCCAAGAATATTGAAAAAAGATTGCATGTCATGCAGAAACAGTTCATGAATTGAAATGGGTTTATTGATAATTGAGTTGTTGTTTTCTTTGAAAATGTTCTCCTGCATGTACAGTGTGTATAAAGCAAAAATGATTTTCCTGCAGGGTGACTATTCTTTTGGTCCAGATAAGATGGAAGAACATTAGGAAAGTACAGTTGACCCAATTTAAGCTTGCGTTAACACCAAAAAAAATTTCATTCTTGGCCACATCAGGACTATGGACCTCACAGTTGAATTTTCCCTGCTGATCACAACCCCTGACTGAAGGGGGAGACAACAGGATGGGGGAGAGGGAGAAAAAGGGCAGATGTGCTTGTGTGTGGGGTTTTCAGGGGGAGAGCAGATCTAAACTGTCTTTCAAAAATCTCTCCCCCCTCTCTCTCTTTCTCCTCTGTCACAGCTGCTTCCTACACCCTCTCATTTTGTTTTCCATTTATATATTCTTGAATCAGTATCCAACTATCCACCAACTTCCCATCCATGCAACTGGATCACCATACATAGTGGTTGCAGATGGTTCCACATGCTCCTGAAGCCTGAGGGAAAAATGGGGGTTTGACAGGAAGCAACATGTCCAACATGTAGAAAGTGGGACTTGCAGGAAATTTTGAATTTTTTTTCTGTGAAAAAAGGATGATGAAAGTTTTTGCCCCACTTGACTGAAAATTCTAGTAACACCAGTGGAGAAATGTGTGCTTCAAAGAATATTTTAAAAATATTGTCCCGCCCACTCCATTGAGGACAAATGTCTTCAATATAATTTGACGTGGAGTGCTATCAAGATTAGAATAAAAATAAGTTATTCAGTCCAGGACAGGACTGGGATTCCATTCAGGAATTCCCAGTTTAAAGAGGGGTAAAGTGTATTTCACAAAGATATGAATAAAGAACTCAATGAGCTTGACTTGCAGGAGTAACTTGGATAACTTGCGGATAACTTGAATAAAACAGCTGAACTAAATGTGATCTAATATTTTGATTTATGGAAAAGGAGCAGCTTACATACTAGCAATAATATTTAACCTTCAATAGGTTTGACTTTTACATTTAGAGCAAGAAAGATAACATAGAGGCAATTCTGGCACTGCAATTTTGAGGAGGGGGGAATATTTTGTACTAGTATTGAGTACATTACTCTAAATGGCGTGCATGCCCAACACACTCTTTACTTTTTTCTTTAAAACCTGAAACCCCATTAGTAGAACAGTCTTATGCTCAGTAAAACATTTTTTATGCTTCACACATTTATTTGCTGTTGAGTTTTTGGATTTTGAAGTCTTCCGACCCTCAATTGAATCTTTCTGTCAATAATATAAGTTTTCTCTGCCTTTTGATTTCTAATTTCCATAATTCTGTATACAAGTTACTGTGTTCCAAAATGACTATACTGTAACTGTTTATTCCGGAACCCTAAACTTGAAAAAAGCTATAATTTAATTTTTATAAATATCTGAAAATGAAACTTGATGGGCCCAAGTTTATTTCGTGGCAATGAAGAATTACTGCAGATGTGACCCAATGACACAATAATTTTTTATTGAGAAGGAAATTTATGCAATGAGCATGTTCTTTTTCCAACAAGTGAAACGATTGAAGTATATTCCAATTCGTGATTTAAACTTAAAAAAGGAACTTTTCCCGGTTTTTAATTATTTTTTGTGTACCTTTTTTGTTTACTGTGAAAAATCCTTGACCAATTTTTTTTCCAGCGTATTAATATTTCGAGGGGGAATCGAATCCCGAAATTGAATAATTAAAGCATGCCCACAGGGCGAGGATTTAGAAAAGTCAGCAGCTGCTTCCTTTATAACAAGCTCCTGTCCATTTGTTTCACTCAAAAGGCATGTCATTTACAATACTTATTTTTTTTATCAATTCTATTTCCGAAAGCACCCAAACTTATCAAATATGTTCCCTCTTTTTTTTTTCGGGTGTGTGTGTAGAACTTTAGTTATCTGCCTGGACCAGTTGTTCGGGTTCAAGTTACAACTCTCGAAAAATGCAGAAACAACTTTCCTCACTTTCCCGCCAACTTTGAAACGGGAAAGATTTGCAAAATTTCGGCAGCTTTGTCTGTTCCGATTCTCAAAAGAATTAGGCTGAAAAAAATTATAGCCTTCGTTATGGCGGTGGAGCAGAAAAATTGCTTGAAAAACATTTTCTTCGTGTTTCGTGATGCAAAAAAAAAAAAAGGAATTATCGGGTTTCGTACATCAATTGAATTAAGAGAAAAGTTCAGGGCCAATTTTATGCAGCTCATTCTGTTTCTTAAAAAATTTAAAATTGAATACAGTATATAAAGCAAGCCCGCAATTTTTCTTCAGTCGCTCCTCTAATTATGCTTCCATTTTTTTTACTCAGGATTGTTTTTCTATCACTAACTTCATCCATAATTTGAGTAAATTTACAGTGTATTTTCCAAAATTTTCAAATGTACTTCTCTTTAAATTCACGCACCTTCAATTGAATTACATTTGCATTGATCTGAAGTCGCCTCAGCCTTTAAGACGTCAATAAAAATTAAATTTTGACCCGGAAAGGAACTGAAAATCTTTTTTGCGCAAATAATGACAAGCAATACTGATGGGGTTTCAGGTTTTAAAGAAAAAAGTAAAGAGTGTGTTCGGCATGCACGCCATTTAGAGTAATGTACTCAATACTAGTACAAAATATTCCCCCCTCCTCAAAATTGNCCGCCTCGCACCGATTTAACATTGAATGAAGCGCATGCAATTGCATGTAACAACCCTGAGCATCATCACGGGTGAACAGAGGTAATCATGCAAATGAACAAGGCGTGGTTTTGCCATTTGTGAACCCGTGATGCCCCTTTTCGTTGCTCCGAGGTCACGGGAATGTAAGAACCACGGAAAGATGGGGGGAGAATTATGGGAGCAGTTTGTGTCTGAGGAAATTGGCGCAAATAATGACACGCAATCTTGCAGCGAGTCTCATATTCGAGATGAGGCCGGTTTAATTCTGGATCTCCGGGAAATAAACGTTAACGAGTGTAACTAGCCGTTGGAGGAGTGATGCGGGGACGGGCTCCAGGAGAGCTCGCATCTTGGGATTAAATGGTCTTGGGGTGGGTGGGATGTACTGCACCCGCATAACATGAAATGATATTGCCCCAGGTGTTCTGGCTGAATTCCAATTTCTTTTCTTTCTATTTCACGAGATGTTTCATTCCGTTCACGGAAAGTAGGGAATGAGTTGGATTTATAAAATTAATTAAAAATGTGGGGAAAGAGGAAAAGAATGAATAAATAGAGGTAAGAATAAGAATCAATTTCAAAAAGACCCTCCACCAGGAAGAGCAACTGCTATGTAAATAATTACAATATTGGCATCGATACTTCTGAAAAACCTTCAAATTTTCTTGTTCTTAAAATTTTCTCCAATTCAAAACTATTCATATTCATAAGCCAGCTTTCCAAAGAAAAGGCTTCAATCATTTGATCATGTTTAGGCTTTCTTTGCATAATCTTTTTTTAAAGCCTTTCATTATTCCTCATGCAGTTTAACAGTTTGGATATTGGATTTTTAAGCAAAATATAAAATTTTCTTAATACAGTATAATATAATCCAATATAAGCATGCATATATTCATTTTCATTGCTGGAAAATGTTGAACCTAGTTCATTGATGGGTTTTCAAATTTGTATCATTGGATATATTGTATATCCATGTTTTGGCCTTCAAGATTATTTATCCCAACTCAGCTGAAATATTGGATGCATATGATAGGCCCCATTCAAAAAAGACTGCCATATTGTTTCCAGACAATGGATTGTTAACTGAGCTCACCACTGAACATAACCCTAATCTCTACAGGTTTCTATTATGAAAAAGGATAAGAATAAACAATCCTTGGATGGTTACCTGGGTTTACATCATAAATCAAGGGGGTTTGGTAACGTTTGGCAATTATTGAGCAAATTGGTTGCTAACCAGGATGTTCATT